CTTTCAGCTACAAGTGTAATTGTTTTTAGGTTCTAATTTTCTTTGTTAATTGACCATTTTCACAACAGTAGACTGCGCTTCTCATTGATAGCTGCTGTTCCTTGATTGACTTACTTTCTAAAATCTTTACAAGACAAATGCACATGCGTGCACTTGCACATTCAATCTCGTGAAGTATAATATATCAATTGCCTGGTTGGCATTCTGAGGAATGTTCAAACGGCATGGCATAATTCTAGAGCATATTAACACTAATTTTGACAAGAGCAGTTAAGGTTTACCAGAATATTTTTGGTTTTCTGTTCCTTATTTTTTAAAAATGTGCTTCAATCGGTGTCCTGGTGATCAAAATCAGGTACTTCCTATAACCTTAACCATAATCATTTGTTTGCAAAGTTCTAAAAATTATTAATTTATAAAGTTGAATTTTAATTGTAGTGATATTAAATGAACCTGACTCTCGAATTTCCAGGTCTTATGATAAAAGTTCCTTTTCTTAAAGTGAGAGAATTATGGTAAAAGATCTTCAAGCAAGCAGAAGCAAAGAATACCCTGTGAAAAATTATGGGACATGCTTTGTTCTTGTGTTATGTATGCAAATGTTTGGCAGGGTCCTTGTCTGAATTTTATTCCAGATATCTGGGAATCTGAAGTAACTTAATGACAAAGTTTGGATGAGACAGTGGTCAAGTAATTAGTCAAACTGCTTAATGGAATTTATTGACTTGGGAGTTGGTATTGTTCTTCAGTGACCTTTATGAGGGAACCCGAATGGCCAAGGTGACAGATCTGGCTGGAATAAGAGAAATAATACAACCTTTGGAGGAATCTGGGACATTGGTACATAGAACTGATGGCGAGGTTTGCACTCCTAACTTTTTAGATTTTTTGTTCTGTGTTTGATTCAACTATCGTAAGTTTGTAATTTGATCTGAAACCATACTTAGCAGAGTTAGGATATTTGGGAGGTGAAGTAGGTCTTAGGTACAAATTTTTTGGAAAATATATATATATTTAAAAAATTACAAAATAAGGACAGTAAATGTTATTTCTTGAAGGGAGCAAATGATTAGTTGCTTCTGATCTTTTTCTTTTATTTTTTTAATTGGAATACAGCTACTTAAAGCCTTGGATTCACTCATTGTTGTGGAAAGAGAAGGTCAAATTATTGCTTGTGCTGCTCTTTTTCCTTTCTTCAAGGAGAAGTATGGGGAGGTTGCTGCTATTGCAGTTTCCCCTGAATGCCGTGGACAAGGACAAGGAGATAAATTACTTGGTACAGTATTGAATTCCTCTATAAATGTACATTTTTCCTGAAGTATTGGCTTGTCATAAAAGATGTCCATATATATGCTGTTACTCAACACTCCACTGATTAATCTCTCGCAATGTCTCTTAACTTCCGTACTGCAAGTATTATAACAATTAATGCAAATGCACCATTTTTCTTTTAGTTACTTTATAAGAACTGTTTTCAAGGGAGAGGGAATTTTGTTTTGTTGTTAGCCAACAAAATCAAGTATTGACATATAGCACAAAATGACAGCATGAAATTAAGTGATTCATTGTGTATGATTTGAAAGTCTGCATTTTGGCAAAAAGAATTTGAATTCTCAATTCAATCAACTGTTACAGCTGTCTGAAGAATGGATTTAAATGACAATGTCTTGAATCTTTCTCTCCAGTTAGCAATAATGGCTAAATTCAGACAGCATAAAAGATTCGGTTGTGGTGAATAAATTTGATTTCATATGTCAGTAGTAGTGCTGGAGAGAGAAAGAGAAATGGATTTTATGGTTGTTGGTCTCTCCCCTGGAAATCATGATGAAACTCGTGGAATTTGTTTGATTGCTTATTTCTAGTTTTTTGTTCTGTTGATAATGCAACTTTTTAGCCCTTGATATCTGTTGCTTCCTAATTACCAGCATCTAAATATATGCAGATTACATAGAGAAGAAGGCATCCTCACTTGGATTGGAGATGCTTTTTCTGCTGACAACTCGTACTGCAGACTGGTTTGTTTTCAATCTCCTGTGACCTAAACTTTGATGTGTGCTTTTAGATATTATATTAGCTAATGGTTCTGGAAAATAGTGTATAATTGTAATGTTTTTTATTGTAGATTAAATTTGTTCTGTTCATGATGCAGTGACTGGATTCACTTATTCTGTTTTATCCATTGGAACTTGGATTACCACTTACTAGAAATAAAATGTGCTTTTTAAGCTCTATTAGTCCACTTATAAACTTTAGCAGCCTTCAATATTAATTTCTACTTCCAAGCAGGTTAACAAAAGATCCATTAAGGCGGTTTTGTGCCTCTGAATGTCTCAATAATAAGATACAGGAATTAGTTTTATCAAATGCTCCTGTGGCAATTAAACCTATTGTATGTCTATTGTATGTAATGTTCGAGTAAATCACTGCTAACTTGTAGCACGGATTTCTGGCCTTAATAGGTTTGTGAGACGTGGCTTTGAAGAATGTTCCATTGAAATGGTACCAGAGCGAAGGAGAAAGAAGATCAATTTATCTCGTAGGTCCAAATATTACATGAAGAAGTTACTACCTGATATGAGTGGAATTACTGTTGATCGAATAAAACATCTTCGTTGAGGTAAGGGAGCATAGAATATCGTTTGGCAGTGACTGAAGCGACTATCTTTCAGTGGTGGCTGAAGCGGCATAATGCTAAAGCTACAAAAACAAGGGCTTCTAAGAGATGTAAAGCATCTACCGTAAAATTATAAGGTTGATGCTAACTTTTAGGCCTTTCGTGGTCTTCATGATAAGTATTATCCTTTTCCTGGATTATTTACTAGAGAGGTGATATGTTCCATGACTCAGAGAGGAAATGTAATTATGGTTTTAGATAAGAATTATGAAAAATTATTATTCGTTTTAGAATGTTTATTTGTGGACGTACGTGGGTTGGACCTAATTTTTTTACCTACTCACCCAAACTTCGGTTAGAACTTTCTCTCCTTGTTGGCTTTTTCTTTATAAATAACATACTCAGTCTGCTTTTGGACCTAATTTTTTTACCTATTCACCCAAACTTCGGTTAGAACTCTCTCCTTGTTGACTTTTTCTTTATAATAATATACTCAGTATGCTTTTGTAATATCCGAGCCTAAAAATAGGCCGAGGATGATTTTCTTATTAGATTAATTATATAAAAATAATTATTTATTTTATTTTATTTTCATTTTATTAAATTTAAAAAAATATGAATTAAAGATGATATTAAAAATAATTTTAAGAAAAATAAGTGAAAATTTGTGTTCGATGGGTATTTTTAAAAGAAAAATTAGAAATAATAGGTCAAAGTGCAAAAAAAAAAAAAATTGATCATGTGGAACGGTTCAGTCAACAGTCCCAACGAATCGAAATACGCTGCATGTCAAAACACGCTGACGTCGGCGCCACATGGAGGCCACATGGGTGATCTGCGTGCCCAGCGATTCGACAATTCAGGTTCAATATCGCGTATGTGAACAACTCATATTCATTCTCTCCTTAGATGTGATCGGACGGACGAGATCAATCGCGATGAACGGCCCATATTCGCCCACGCAATCGGCCTAAACTAACAAAGATTGGATGACCTTCATTACTCCACGTCAATGCGAATGGACGGTTCAAATTGACGCGGGATTGATATAATACCTCACATCGTAGGGGAACCCAAACCCTAGTCGCCAACACCTCACCGGAGAAGAAGAACCAAATGTATTTTTTCGGCTAATCGAAACCTCATAACGTATTTTTTTGCAGGGATACATGTAAAACTTACCAAAATCGGCCAAAACTGACTAACTCAAGGCGAATCGCCGCCTTATACGGCAGAGCCAGTGCCGGAGCACGGTGGCAGAATCCTAAAATTGGCCATAAAGGGTTTTGGATACTGATTTTGAGTTTTTGATGTATTTTTTGGTATGTGATGAGTATTTTAAATTCCGCATAAAAAATTTAGAAAATCTATAACTCGTTATGAGGTGTAGTAGACAGTGTAATATCTCGAAACAATAATTCAGGTAAGGATCTCTCACCCTATTCTCGATTACGGTAAATTGAAGTTTAACGATATGTAATTTTATATTTTTGTGAAAAATTAAAAAATTCTAAAAATAATTACAAGTCACTAATGGAATCGGAACCAGTTAATTCACAATTGTCCTAATTTCTTGTTTATTTTTTTATACTGCTCTACGTGCTGGTTATTAAATGTTGTATGTTCTTAATTGATTTATCTGGTTTATTCGGTCTCTTATTATGATAAGTTATATCGTATATATAAATGTCATCTAATTAATTTATAAATATAATATGAGATATTAGTATGCATTTGTTAGTTATTTTGTTGATGAAAATCTTTATGTGAAAAACTTACTGAGCACCTAGGGAAATGACGGATGGTCCCGGTATATAGAAAACTCTGTCGTGAACGTTATTTCAGTCAAATAGGGCTGGGAAGTCTCTTATCGGAAAGGTTTAGCAGATATGATTCACCCTCATACCGAATAGAGTATTGAAACGATAAAGTGTTTGATATCCATTAACGGACGAGATATGAGGATGACCAATTAATTATTAAAATTAGATATTGGGTTCACACATAGAGGAGACACCTTTATGAACTCTCAAAGGTACCGGTACGCAAGTAAGAAAAAAAAATTGTTATTTTTTGTTCACTTGTGCGTGAAAATGAAAAGTGGTATGAATATAAGTTTTCATAAGTTGATTTTTAAAAAACTCGTAACGATAAGTATCAAAAAAACGTTTTAAAAGTTAAATGTATTTAATTAAAATAAGAGCTTCATTAGTTGTTTTCCAATTTTTACCAATCTTCAGTTTTCTGTATTAGTAAATAGTATGATATTTTTATTGAGTTAGTACATTAATTATTACAGATCAAGAGGATCAAAATCTAGACCCTAATCAGTAAGAAGGTTGTGAGTTGTGAGTAGTTTACCTCATAAATCTCTTTAAGAGCTAGTGGAGGTTAACTCTAGGACATTTATCTATTTATTTTAAATCATTTATTTATTTCTTTTTTACGAGTCACAGTAATATAGACATTTTCGTAACTCTATTAAACATTCTAATTTACTATATAAGAAATAGAAATTCTAACATATTATTTGCTTCCGTATTTAAATTATAAATTTATTTTCTTTAAGATCCTAAATCTTTATAAGTTTCATGCACAAAGTAAATTTTGATCTAGAAAATCAAGTTACTTTCTCACTCTCTTACTCAATATTTCTTCTTTTAATGCTCGTGACCAATTTAATTTAATTCTTAAGAAAACTATAAATATAAGGATAATTATAAACACGTAATCTTTTCACTCGAGTAGGCAAGAGAAAACAATCTCTAGAGCTGAGGGATGGCCGAGTGGGGCCATAAGTCCTCTAAAGGGCCCTGTTGCCGGTGGCTAGCCTAGCTGGCTGGCTGCTCGGCCAATCAGTACATTTAAATTTAAAAAGAAAAAAAGAAGTAAAGCAAATTTTACAAGTTATCGACAAAGGCAAAAGAGTACAACCCCTCAGTCCGTTATTATTATCAGAAGAATTCACTTAGAAACCATCCCATAAGATGTTACAGAGTATTGACTTGTAGAAACTTGCAACTAGACAAGAAAAAAAAAAAGGCTGCAAGCCTTAACCTTGCTTCTTATGACAGAATCAGGAGACAAGAATAGCAATAAACTTAGCCCTATTCAGCTTTGGGAGGGCCCTTCCACTTGAAGTTATCTGCATACGCCTTCACCTGCAACCACAAGATGCGTGTTTCAATAGATTATGGTTTGCAAGGGGACATTTCCCACTTCTACAGAAGCATGAATTTGTTCATTAGCACTTGGATATGAACAGATGATCCCAAAGCAAGATTGGCAAAAACTGAATGAGAACCATCTACATCTACATACATGTAAGGCCACAGACTACTAGCATAGAAGTAGAGTACTAGCCAAAGAGCTGATAGATTGTTCTCCGAAACTCGAATCTCTTTGTACATACTGAAAATTGTGGTCATGATCATGCAGTTTACGTAGGCACAATGATTACCATAGTCTAAATTTCAAAAGAAAACAATGTTTTGAATAGCGCAACTAAATGCCACTGCCCAGCTAATGAAATTTAACAATTTCCATACAAGCCATATTCAGTTATTACTCGTATTTAGAGAGATTACTGCTTACAAAAAATTCCCAGAGGGATGCAATACAGTATTTTTTACCCAAGGCATTCTTTCATCAATGGGTATTCTGGCAAGGTTGTGTTTTCTTCTTAATCCAATACACATGAAAAAGTCCTAGTTGTTAGATGGAAGTTTTCATCTTGAAAACTTTGCTGGTAACTCTTGGATGTAAGTACATTCTCAACCTCCAGTAAATTCTTTATTGTTCTCTCTCTCTGTCACATGTTCACTTCACTTGTGTCTTGCCTGGTTATATCAACTAGACTTAGGAGTTGAGTATTGATTTGTCTACTTAGGAATTGGGACAAATTCAAAGAATTCTTAGATGTCACACCTAAAATGGAGAAAAACAGGAAAATAACTAGGAGACACACATTGGATCCTCAAGCATCACATCTAAGATGGGTTTGTAGGCAATACACTTAAAAAACATGATTAAGTCACAACTGAAGTATTGAGAGGAATCTCACCATAATCTACTAACTCGTGACCTGATCTTATAAGTAAACTTAGATAGGTATCCACAATGCTTAAAAATAAAATCCTAATCTAACTGAGATGAAAGCATCCGACTCGAAAACTTATTGACTTAAAAAAATTAAAACTATAAATGAAATCCTAATATTACTAAAAGACCTAATCTTATCCATACCAGTACACTTATAGATTAGCTAGAAATACAGTTCTTAGTTTTTATATCAGATATCCATAATTATGTTCTATTGGTTTTCAAAGTAAAATGCTTATTTAAAAAGCAACTATTAAGAGTAAAAGCATTCTGAAAACACTCAAGCATGTTACTCTTCTATGACCAAAGGTATGAACTATTACCTAACCAATTGAAAGCTCATGCAAATGATAAGAGTGATGAGCAACAACAATTCTCAGATAAGAGTTACTAACCTTCAACAATGGTGTCTGCTGCTTCTTCACCTGCAGATTAATCAGGAAGTGTTGTGAATAGAGGATGACAGACAGGGAGAGTATACAAAAACTACGGCGGTGAAAGAGACTGATAGAGAGAAGCCATGGTAAGCAAAACTGAACCAAGAACAGCTGCGAGCTTTGGATCAATGGTCATCATCTCACACAACGCTTCAGCATGGCTAAGTTTGCTAGGATAATTCCTATTAACATCAAAGGTACCGTAAAACTCTAATTTTTTAGAACACTTGGAGGGAAGACACTAGAGTTGATACTTCACAAGAGATTACCAAAAGGTTCCCTGAATGATGGCCTAGCCAATAGAGGAAGAGATGGGCAGATGTGTGCATACAGACACATCCCTGAATAAAATGCCACTGGAAAGATAATACACTAAATCTACCTGAAAATCAAAACGATTCTTAAAATTTAAGCCCTACAAATAAAAAGCCTGCAGAGAGAATACAATACAACATACCACATATTCCCATCCGTGTTTCTCTGCAAATGCCTTTGCAGCTTCTTCACTGTCAAAGCTGAGAGCAGAGTCACCAACATTGGCATAAGGGTCTCCCGTTGATGTCCAACCCATCAAAGGATTTTCCCACCTATGGTACAATGGTTGACAAAGAAACTTTCAATATGATTAAGATCTTATTCATTACATGAGAACATTCACAAGTAAATCCAAACTGATCAAATAACCAAGAAAATTCTTCTAGTTAAACATTTTAAACGGAAGTATTTGCTGTGAAGATAATACTAATATTTCTTTTCTTTGATAAGGAAACAAAGAAACCAAAACACGGTGAACAAATCAAATGAAGTTAATACTAGCATTAGCAGACACCGTTATGACGAATGATGTTGCTAAACAAGAACCTAATGCAATGACATTGCAGAACGAAATTGCAGCCCAAGCAGTAAGAACGGTGCCAGCAAAAACCCTCATAACAGAAGACCATAGATACCATCATGTGAATCTTTTAGGATAAAAATGAAGCCAATACAACTTCTTTCAGCGATATTAAATATAAATTAAGATAAATGAACTTACTTTTGTGTTGACAGAAAATTGATTTTCCACCTTCCAACTTTTCCAGATCCTTGCTGAGTCGCAGTTCTAGCAGGTGAATATATTACCACCTGCCGTAGACGTCAAATAATTCAAGTAAACCGCAAATTACTAGAAGCCCAAATTAATCAATTTGTTCTTAATATTTCCAACTTCAATGCTGCCTGACATAAAAAATCGAAGAAAATTATATGTCCTAATTCATCATATTTGACTGTAGTATGAACCCAGAAAATATCTGAATGTAATACATACGTGCACATAGAATCGGGAAAACAAAAAGGATAATCAAGAGAACTAAATTAAAGAATAAACAAATTCGCAGACGTCGAAGAAAGCAGGAGGAGAGGAAGGGTATACCCTTCTGCGAAGATGTTCTTCAGGGATCCCAGAGACCATGCCGATCTCACCGGACTTGATCTCGGTTTCGACCAATGCGTCCGTTGAGAAAGGTCTAGCAAGAGGACGCATTGCAGTGTGCAGAGCCCGGTACCCTTGGCCCGTGATTCGTTGCAGAGAGCTCGAAGCCATGTCGTACCAAGCTAATCTGTGAGTTCGATTGAGTTCTGCCACCCAGTGCCCTTGAAAATGTAAAGATGAATTTGCAACTTTTTTTTTTTTTTCTTCAATTACAATTTTTACTTGCAGCCTTTTGCGATTTGTGAAATTGCTATTTTTCGGAATTACAGACTTTCCCTTTTTAGTCCAATATTTACGAAGTACCCTCTCATTTCTGAATATTTCCAAACGGTCCTCATTCTTATTTGAAATCAATAATTTCCCCCCCTTAATAAAATATATTATTTTCCCCCCAACATATATGATTTCTTATGCACACAAAAATTTATATGCATTTCAAGAGATTATCTTACAAATTGATATAGAATCCATAATTTGTGCATTATACTTAAACTATGATGACATTACAAAAATATTTTATACGATTTTATAAATTATTGAAATTCGAGATAAGTAAAACCTATGTTTAGTATATAAAATATATCTTAACATTATAATATTTTGAAATTGAATTTTAATTTTTAAGATGGATTTATTTTTTGAATTTTTTTATTTTAAAAAATATTACAAAATAAGAAGGAGAAGTATTCAGAGAATACTTGGTTTTAGATTGAAGGCGTATAGATATAACAATAAAAACTATACACCTTCTTATACAATAATAGTTTTTATTCTTAAAAAAAAAAAAAAGATAGTTGCAACACAATAGTGTGGCTTTTTAAAAAAATAAATAAATATTGAGAAATAGTGAAAAAAAAATAACAAAAAAAAAAATATTACTGTAATTTCAGAGTAAATGTCAAAGCAATAAAAATATTTAGATAAAAAATTAAAAATTTATTATATTAATATATTAGAAATAATTTACATAAAAATTAAAAATATTATATTATTATTTTTTAAATAATTTTTATATTACATTTTATGCACCGAGCATTATAATGTTATTTATTTTTTTAATATATATATTTATAATAAAAATATTATGATACTCTTATTATATTTTAGAGATTTATATTTAAAATTTAGTTATGTAATGATTTATGCATAGTGAAAAATAATATTATAAGATTTATATGTGTATTTTATTATTATCCAACTTTTTATAATAAAAAAAAGAAGATCACATAAATCGAAATATTTATTATTATTTTTTAAAGATATTTGATTTTTTATTTGTATGATAAATAATTCCACTAATTTTTTAAAAGTAAGAGTTTGAATAATACACTAGGTAGTTAAAAATTACATCGTGCATGCCATTGTTAGAGTATTATGTTATTATTATTGTATAGTTTGTTATATAATTAATAAAATATATGAATTTTAATTAAAAATTATTATATATTTTTAAAAAAAAATAGTAAAATGAATTAAATATGTAATAAGCGAGGCCGCAGTGTAATATTTTAAAAGAGGAGCGCAAATTGATAAATACCTCTAATATCGGGATACTTTGATATTTGGAAAAGAATAGGGGCGGCAAGAGAAGTGTCCTTCTGCCTGCTGCAATATATTGCAGAATGAGTTTTTTAATTTAATGGTTCTCTCTCACTCTCGTCTCCCTTTTATTATATTCGGGCATTTTCCTTAAGCAAATGATCAAATTGATGTCGGTTTCTTTCTAATTATCACGTTCAAATGCCGATTTACCACTTCTGGTCTTTGATCAGGTAAGGCTTGCTCCTTATTTTTCCGTTTCTCCTCAGTTCCTTATCGGCAAAAGCTTTTGCGCGTATATAAACACACACGCACACGCATATATGTGTGCGTATTCCGTTTCTGTTATAGTTCCTTCATTTAATAAGTTGATGATGTGGTTTTGTTTTATTTGAGTTACTATATGACCTCATTTGATTTATCTGTAGTTAGGTGTATCTACGACAATGGTTAGTTTTCTTGTTTTCTGTTTTGCGTTTTTTCGTTTCATTAATTTTTATTTTGCATTTCTGCTTCGCATCTTCTACGATATTTTTCTCTCCAGGAAGATGCGGGGTTGGTGAATTTCGTGGTGCCAATTCTGCAGTCAAAACTGTTTTGTTGATTTACTTGCTTTATCTAACTTTGGAGCGAAGGTATTTATATCGCTAGATCGTGAGAGCACTAGTCAACTTGTGGATTAACATATAATTTGGTTCTGAATCTTTCTGGTTCTAATGTCTTTTCCTTAATTGGGCGAATGAGCTATGTGATTCTCATAGGAAGTTGTGAAGCTGAGCTATGTGATTCGTCATAGGAAGTTGTGAAGCTGTAGTTGGTAAATCAGTTCTATGAAGTTCAACTTCTGTTCCTTTAGTTGGGCACATAAAGCTTGTGATTTGTTTGCTTTCACTGTCAAATATCTGAAGCTCCTAATGCCATTTGCAATGAAGCCTTTGTTAACTCATGCCATGTTGTTTATGCTGATTTGAATATTGCTGATTGCGCTATAGGATTAGAAGGCTTCTGAGCTCGAATTTCTTACTATTAAATGTCTCTTGTTGAATCATTTCAAAAATGTCTCTCTTATTGAAATAATAGGGTTATGTCATATCATTGGATGTCTAATAGTAGGGACTTTCAAAAATGTCTCTCTTGTTGAAATAATAGGGTTATGTCATATCATTGGATGTCTAATAGTAGGGACTTTGATGTGACCCAAATCAATGTGAATCGAGACCTTGCCATGTAATCTTGAAGTCGAAGCACGTGTGCATTTTCTGCAATTAGTTCCATTTTTTCTCCTTTCCTCAGTGATTATGTTTATATTGGGAGTTCTTCTTGTATTCAGTTCAAATTCTATTATTTATCATTTAGTCTCTGTTATATTGCACGTATTCAACTAATATTTACTGGTGTTTGATGATCCTTTTCTGGGCCTATTCCTGCAGGCAGAAGAAATCAGTTTCTTAGATTCTGTGGGGGGATTTATAGTCTACTAATGGGTGCCCCTAAGCAGAAGTGGACGGCAGAAGAAGAAGCAGCACTTAAAGCTGGAGTACTTAAGCATGGGACTGGCAAATGGCGTACAATACTTTCAGATCCCGTGTTTAGTGCCACATTGCAGTCTCGCTCGAATGTGGATCTTAAGGCAATGGCTTGGACTTTGACATGCTATATCAGTTGCCAAATATATCGAACTATATAATATATACTTATTTGTTTTCAAACAACATCTCATGGTGAATTGTGACGTAGTAATTTGGACGTTGCAATTCTTAACAGGATAAATGGAGAAATATAAATGTCACAGCAATATGGGGATCTAGGAAGAAGGCTAAGCTTGCACTTAAAAGGATTCCAATTCCTAAACAAGATGAAAATGCAATGACTTTGATCAACGTATCCCACAATGCGGAAGAAATAGTAGATGCTAAGCCTCTTGCTATTTCTAGTGGGACATCAAGAGCTGATGGTTTGAAGAAACCAATTCCGAGGTTATCTCTTCTTCTTACATTATATTTCATCCTCTCCAATTATTTTGGACTAATTTTTGTGTTAGTCAATTTAGATTATTGTGGGTGGCATGTAGTTGAGTATTGTCGTTTCAGTGTTGTGGTAGATAATATTATTAAATTTACTGATGGAGGAAAGAAGCATGGTTAGATTTCTTGATCATGTTGAAGCGTGTATGCATTTGCTTTAATATAATCTAAGTTAGAAATTTAACCTAGAAAAACCCCTGGTTTTACTGGAATCTACCAGAAAAACAAGAAATTCTTGGAATCCACTAAAAAGACAAAAGAGAATAAATTATTCATTGAAGCATAAAATATGGATTGACTGGAATCAATACTCTTTACAACCCATAGAATGTACATATTTATAGCTTTCTCAACACTCACCTAGAATAACAATAATTAGTAGAAAAGAAAAACTAATACTAAACTAAGTGAGCTGATATTACTCCTGACCAAATACGAAAATAAATCATAATTAAGTTACTGATATTCTATAAACAATACAACACCACCAGCATGTTTAGTGATATAAATAATATATATATATATATTAATACTAAAAATAATGGTAATAGTAGTTCTGTAATTCTTCTCCAGATCATTTAACTTAGTTTCTAGAGGTGCATCCAAGTCTTGTAAATTCGGTGTTTATTGTTCATGAACCTTATGATGTTAAATAATTACTTATCCACTTTTGATATCATACTAACTAGTTACCAGAAGGGGGACTATAAAGTGAGTGGATGAAATAATGTGCTTGTTGACTCCAACTATGAAGAAATACATGGAAATAGCAAGATAGTAGCAAACAACAGCTTAGCATCTTAGTCAGCTCTTTATGCACTCAGGAAAGGCTACATTGCTGGACATTCATATGCTAGAAAAGCCTTTATGTTTTGAAGCTACATTTATTTTTCAAAGATACGGTGGAAATTTTCAGTTGTTTTACTCCATAAAAGACAATTAACAGAAGCCTGTTTATCTTAGCAAAGATAGTAACAAACAACAGCCAAGCATGGCACTTAGCTCGTTACACTTTAAGGAAATGATACATTGTGGGACACTCCTATGCTAAAAAAACGTCTATGTTTTGAAGCTACATTTATTTTTCAAAGATACAGTGAAATTTTCAGTTGTTATACAGCATAAAAAACAATTAAGCCTGTTTATCTTATTTTATGCAATATGCTGATTGATGAGTTCTATGTCGTAGTTTGGATAATCTTGTATTAGATGCCATCACCAACTTGAAGGAGTTACGTGGATCTGACAGGGCTTCAATTTTTGAATATATAGAGGTACTAAATTTTTTCCTGAGGTTATGGATTCAAACTTTGTTTTGCAGAAATAAATACTGAATTAATCAAATAGCAGGAGATTTTGGTGCATATACTTACATTTTGTGAAGGTTTTCTCTTCAATTTCTTTCTCGAGTAGGTGTCCTCCTTTCTGGCATTTCTTTTTTTTTTTTTTCTTTTTCATGAATTTGTTTCTTGTTTAGAAAGTAATAATAATAAGATAATTGACATCAAAGTTATATTTAGTTTTCCTTTTCAAAATGTTAATAACAATTGACATCCAATAATAATAACGATATTAAGAATTTTGGTAACGTAGTATTAAGCTACCATATTGCTTATGAAAAATGCTTCTACCATTCCTTTCTCTTGTCACTCTTATCAAGTTTCTGTCTTAGAATCTGATGAAGACCTTGATGACCTAATTCATATATTGACTGGGCCGTAAATTTCTACTTCTCTATCTGTGCACCCTCTTGGTATCTTGTTTGTTATATTCCATCTTGTTATAGCAAAAAACAAAAAGTATCATCTCATAATTTGAACTTTATTTTTTCGTCAGAAGAAGCACATAACCCATTTAAAAAGTTAAGTGAGACAATTTCCAGAAGTAAGTCTTGATAGATGGTTGTGTGCGTTGATGTATTTGTCTTTATTTGTAGTTGCTTCATTATTTTTCCCAATTTCCCTATTAATTTTTTATTTTGCAGGAGCACTATCGAACACCAACAAACATTAAAAGGCTGGTGGCTACAAAATTGAAGCATTTAACTGCAAATGGCACATTGATCAAGGTATTATTCTGCATAATGAATTATGACAAATTACAATATCCAGACTTTGCCACATTTCAATAATAACAGTAACTGACAACAAGAATTCATGGGGCAAAAAGATAATACTAATTTTTTTGCATTGCCATAACAGTAACTGATAACAAACATCCATGGGGTGGAAAAAAAAAAAAAAAATTGTGCGTATTTCAACATAGCATAGAACGAAATGCTTGGATCTTTGCAATGACAAAAGATCTCTCTTCAAGGTGATTGCAGAAAATGCTTTTAACGTAGTGTAGATATTATAGACTACTATTTTTGGATGTTGGGGAAAAAATTAAAAAATCACATTATATACAGATGAGGTATTCATTGAGATTGATATCTCTCTCATGGGTGTAATGCTGGTAGTGAATTTTTTGACATGCATCCATTTATGTCTGTAAGGGCTAGTACATTTCATTTTCTAAGAGCTATGGAAAGGCAGGGATGTCATAATCTGTGCTTAGGTTATCTTTGTTTGTGCTGACAGATTAAGCACAAGTACAGGATTGCCCCCAGTTCAGCAATTGCTGGAGTTAAAAAGAAGTCTCCTCCATTGGTTTTTGAAGGAAGGCAGAAGGATTCTTTGAAACAAGAGAAAAGTATCAACATTCTTACTAAATCCCAGATTGATGGAGAGCTATTAAAGATAAAGGGAATGACTGCTCAAGAGGCTGCAGCAGCCGCTGCACGAGCAGTTGCAGAGGCAGAAGTTGCAATTGCGGAGGCTGAAGAGGCGGCAAGGGAGGCAGAGAAAGCAGAAGCAGAGGCAGAAGCAGCACAAATATTTGCCAAAGCAGCATTTAAGGCTTTGAAATATAAGACACTTCGTACCTGGTAAGGCCCCACTTCACTGACTTACTTCTTAAAAGTGCTCTTTAGCATACGGATTGGGACATTTTTTCTTCTTGAAATGCTGGTCATAGTGTATATTTTAAGATACTTCAGTTTCAGTCTCACCCAAGAGTCAGAGCCTTCAAAGTTTATTTTTTCGGATCTATGCATCGGCTGAACAACCAAAGTATTCCAGCAAATTTGATAAAGTCAAACAGGTAGCTGTTTTTCTTGCCATCCGCTCCGTCTTTTCCCTCTCTTCCTGACTTCCTTAATCAAGGTGGTTCTCTCTATTGTAACAAAGAGAGAACCAAGGTATATTGGTCAGTCAGCTTGTCAGCCTAATTTCACACTTCGATGGAAAAGGGAAAAAGCAGCATAATACCTTCTATTCCTCTCGACCTCCAATAAAATGAGTTTCCCAGATAAGAATCATTGTCTAGATGTGCAATAATAAGCTACTGTTGTTTCATTTTTCATTGGATTTCTGGACAATTTCTAGTTTTAATTTCCATGTTAGGCTAGTTCAGTTAGGAAATAGAAAAATTTCTCACTAAAATGACAAAAATTAGCCTTATATGGAATTTCATGAGGAGTTTTAATAGAATTTGTAATATTTTCTAGTTGAAGTAAATATAGATTTGCAAAGAAATCTTGCAAAAATTAAAAATTTGCTACGAACAGCCTCAGTTTGTAATATAAATAATTAGAACGTAATTGTTTGTGTTTTAATTTCCATAACTCCCGCTTTGATTCTTTTCACTGCGAGAATCCAATTCTTAGCGTGGAGAATTGAGTAGAAATTGAATCAGACACAACCTTAGGAAAAATTGCCATCGTACTTTTAGTGGTTGATCTTCTTGTTGTCTTGGAAATTTGATGCAGATGGCATGAAGTGGATATCCTGTCTTAGGTGATGGTACAGCATGTGAAATGCACAAGGTGCAGATGTCAAATCTAACTGGCATGATACATACATATCTAAGGACACCATGTCAGTTAACTGTAAATATATCATCAGGCTTGTAAATGTGGAATATGTGAGATTAATCTCTGAATACAGTTTTTGTTTCTGTGGAATGATTTCCATAGGAGCTTCTTATAGGCTTAATTTCAAAAAGTTTTTATGATGAGGGAGTAAGGAATTAGTAGAAGAAATAGAAGATTGTGATGTCGTATTAGATTTATGGTCAATGTATTACTGACAGTTCATGACGAGGAAGAGTGAATACTGAAAACTGTCGTTTCACAAATGGCTTTCTGGAAGCAATATGAAAGGTTTCTGTGCGGTGTTAATACTGGAAATTAGTGATTTTATTACGTTCGTTTCTTTACTAGAAATGTTCTCTTTTTGTTTTCTTTTTAAATAGAGTTAGGGATTTAACTCCAGGCCTTTGGCATGTAGAATTTTGTTGTGGCGTAAGTTCTGTTGATTTGTTCTCCTTGATGACAGGAAAGAATAATTAAATTATGTATTATACTACAATTAAGCAGTAGGTTTTTCCATTATGATTTTTTTATCAAACTTACAAAATTGTTAGGAAACATAATTTTTGTAAGTGACTATAAAAATTTTGACAAAAATAACAAAACTAAACATGTTGAAATAAAAATTTCTTAATGAAGTATAATCATTTCAAAATTCTTTAAAATTTTAATTTTAATTCATTAAAGAAACTTCGTAGCTTTTAAATCATTTTACATAAAAATCATAAAAGTTGTATTTCAAAGTAATTTTTAAACTTTTGTTCCTTTGTTTTTCGTTTTTTTTGCAACGAGTAATAAATAATACAATCGGCAAAAAAGAAATAAAGAGACCGGAGTCGATCTACAATATTTAGTTGATCCCTGTTGGAAATTGTTTGTAATATATGAGTATTTTTAAGTTGGATTGATTGACTTATATGAACCAAACATGTGATGATCTCAACACGGGCTCAAAATGCTTACAGCTCAAAATAAGCCAACCTCAAGCGTGGCATTTGGTTAAGGGTGTAAGTTTTGATTTGATTACTCAGAGACTGAGTCGACTGGAGTGTAGTTTGATTATGTTTTTTCAACATTTGAAAAACAAATTCAATAAAACTCGTTAGTAGTCTCTAATGCTAAGAAAATAAGAAACAATCCCCTTCAAAGACTCTCCTATTTTGACAGAGTTCATTCAACACTATGTTCAATCGTCAAGGGGATGATGAAAGCTTATATTCAAATAAATTTTAAGTGAACTTTATTTCAATCTCTACTTCAGAAGTTAAATGGAATTGAACTGTCATTCCTTTAGAAGTAAATTTATGTATTTTCAAACAAATTTCACAAAAAATAACTCATGACTCCAAACATATCCTTAATTCAATATGTAAACTCATAAAAAGTTGCCTGCAATATTTACGAGAATGCGAAGATCCAATCAGTTAAGAAAAATTAAAGCCCTTTAGATACTAGAAAATGAAAATACTTGAAGCTCAATACCTGTACCAACTGGTAGTTTAAGAATATGAAAATATAGTAAAAAGTGCAAACTCGAGTTATCAATAATAAGCACTTAATCTTTTAACTCGTTCGATGCAAATCTTCAAAGAATAATAATAATTCTGGAAACTTATAATTCAACGATCATAACAATTGTATTTTAACTATAATTATAAGCTTAAAATTTCATGATTGGTATAAAAAATCATGCTCTCACAGTATACCCAAAGATTCAAGGACTTGGAACAAGAATCAGCCATGTAGACCAAAATATCCATGTTCATCAAACAGAGAAAGAAAAAAAAGAAAAGATTTCAAGTTTCGACTGCTGTTATACACAGCTCAACAACCATGTTTTCAATTAGGTCTGTGCCTAACAATGTTGGGTTTTGCTAAGGGCACTGTCTTTTAGTTCTTTGACATGTCTTAATTTCTTTCTAACTTAAGGAAGTCATAATTTCAACGGGACATGGATTCAAGACTTGGAGGGTGATCTAGGACACTGAATGCCAGATGAGCTTAACTGCTCTTGGCATGTCTTAATGTGGTTAAAGGGCGAAACTCGGACTTCTCTGGGCATGTCCTAATTGCCTCACAACCGGAAGCAGTAATTTCACTTAATTGAACCCAGGACTTAAAAAGGGAGATTTAGAATGCTGGATTTTAATTGAGCTAACTGCTCTTGGCATGTCCTGAATAGAGAATAAGAAAGTAACCTCCAACTCCCAATTAAATGTTTCAAGACATTTATTGAGTCTGTAAACTATAACAGAGAAAGGTTCCTCTTTCAGATAATCTAAGTAGATGATACATAAACCAACCTCAACCACTGGTGTTCTCATTGTCAAATAACTTAAGATGCACGCAAGTTCATATGCAATTTCTCTGAGTTAAATCCACATCTAAGAAGATGTTTGGAACAAATGAAATTTGTTTGTGAAATTCATTTGTAGATCTACACTTATTTGCTCTATGAAAGCATCTAAATCCCTTCTAAATTGATAAAAATTGTCTATAGTGCCAATTTTTATCATTTTGAATGAGATTTCCATCGTTTCATGGTTATAATATGTGAGTTTCTGAACCAATTACACAAAGAAACATCATTCATTTCAAACATACCCTACTTTGAACAATCAGTAAGCGCAATGATTAAAATCCACCCATATGTAGTTCTGCCACAATCCTAGAACACGACTCTGCAACTCGCAAGACAACAAATGTTCCAAGAACAAATCATATGTTCAAATGTAAAGCCTACTCCTTTCAAGGTTTCTTTTTTTTTTCTTTCTTCCTTTTTCATTGAGCTATGAGCTAATCTAACATCTAAGCTGAATAACAACTTGACGCTACCAAGCTTTTAGTTCCCAAAACAATGGAAGTTCTGGTTAGAAATGAACCCTAAAATTCATCACTCATTGATAATTCCCAAAAGGTGAAGATGTCAACAGAGAAGAGAACATGTCAGTTATACTCAACCCCAAAATTCCCATTCATTAATCGTTTATCTAAATACCCATTATTCTACAGCAAAAAAAAAAAAATTAAACCAAAAATCGGAAATTCATCATTCTAATACCACAGTGGCACCCAGCTCCTTGAGCTTCGAAACAATCTGATCGGCTTCCTCCTTTGTAACGCCCTTCTTTACGACGACAGGAACCTTCTCCACTAAATCCTTAGCCTCCTTCAAACCCAAATCAGTGAAAGTCCTTACTTCCTTGATGATCTTGATCTTCGCTGCTGCATCGAACTTCTCCAGTTTGATATCGTAAGCTGTCTTCTCTGCGGCCTTGGTTTCAGCAGACCCGGAATCGGCGGCTGGGCCCGGTGAAGAGGGACCCGACACGGCAGGCCCGTAGCGGTTAAGCCCCAACTTGAGGCGGAAGAGGATGGAGTAGTCGTGTCGCTCGAGCTTCGTAAGATCGAGAAGCTCGTCGGCGATCCTTTCTAGTTTCTGGGAACGGGTCTCGGGGGTTGTAGAGAGAGAGCGAGAGACAGAATTAGGCGTGACGGCGCCGGCGGGTGCGTTGATAGGTTTAGTTCTGAGGAGGAGGAGTAGGGATCTAGCATTGATTTTGGAGATTGCGGAGGACATTTTTAGGGGAAGGCTGGAGAGAGATGAGAGGTTTATTGGGGTTTTACAAAGGTCAAATTTTTTGTGTGATTTTCATTTGCGACCGGTAGTCAGTGATGGTGGGGGAAGTGCCTAGGTTGGGAATGGTAGTCAGTGATGAGTACAGGTCGAGGTCCTTTTATTCACAGCGATGAAAATTTGAGAACTAAATATTAATCATTACATGTTGATATTTGTAGGCACAGTATATATTAAAAATAAAATTTTTAAATGTATCATATAGATTTCAAGAAGTGGGCTTTTACAATCTTCTCTCTCAAGAAAGATTTAATTTTGGTGCAGAAAATTTATTTTAAAAATATTAATTGTGCATGGACTGTTATCTTTCACTTTTAGTAAACTGTAGAATTGCAGAGAATTTTTCTGAGGGCTAAAAGAAACCTTACTCCTGAACATTACAACGAATTTGAAAAACAAAATGGCAGATGAAGCTGGGATTATAATGGAAGGTAATGAGTATAATTTACATCTCAAACTTACAAATCATCCAAATATATACATAGCATTTTCATCAAACACAGAACGTGCTACCTAATGTCATAGGCACTGGCGTGATCCAATGTGTAAATAAAGATATATTAAGTTTAAACTCATTTCGTGCCAGAATTTAGTAGGGTTCAAGATCTGGAGTTTGGATTTCAGGAGAGAGCGAGAGAGAGGCTGTTTTTGCAACAACAATTTCAGACCAATTACTGTTCAGAGGAGCAAGAGGTTCAGATAATGTATCAGTAACCAGAAATTCAGACCAATATGCAACTTTGCACCCCAAAATTCGTAAGAGTTGGTCTAAGTGAAAATCAACAGATCATCTCCTTTCATGTGTTCTATTTATGGAAAAAACCACTCCATCAAGATATCATCGTGATCATACATCGACAACAATGCTTCGCATTTTGATGCCGAATAGAGCTTGTGTGTCATTTCTGTCCAAGCTGAAAAGGAAAAATTATCCCATCCTTTCTCCTGCTTTCCTTCCATTCTTCCAGTATTTGTTCGGCGGAAGGCAAGGTAGATCCATCAGATCCACCATCCATCATTGGGATTTCAAATTGATCCAAGTTAAAGGTTGAAGGATCACTGTCGAAAAATTCTGTAGATTCATGTGATGCTTCTTCACTCATAGCAAAAACCTCAATTTTGGAGCAAAGCTCGGACAAATGATTTCTATTATAATCATGATTTGATGATGACCTCATGACCACCTCT